AATCTTTTTATTAATTTTTATTTATAAATAAATAATTATATAATTATATATGTAAAACATTTATATATTTTTTCCTTCTTTATTCATATTTAAGAAATATGTATATCTAAGAATTATTATTTTTTGTATAATTATACGTATATATTTATACAGAATAAAGCGGGGTAATTTTGATGAGTCAATAGAAATTTTTTAATTGTAAAAAAGATTAAGGTCTCATAATATATTCAATATATCAAAATACATTATTAGTGCAATAATGTTATTATTCTACTTTTATTCTATTACCGCTTTATTCTACTTTTTATTTGAAAAAGATATTACTATAACGATCATTGTTACACGTCAATATAATAAATCAATTGATTATCATTACGCAGAGTGAGATGCTTACACTGAAATACTAAATTATATTCAAGTTACGGTTTTAAGTTATCAGTAAATAAAAATAAGTATCGGAGATGTCGAGAAAAGTGTCGTAAGCAATTTACATATAAAAATACATATACAATAAAAAATGTTGAACTATCATTATATCGAATGCAGATTATAAAAAATGGATAAAACTTTCCCGGATCAATATTCTTCCTCTTTCATTCTCTCTACTAGTTAGCAGCAGCTTTTACTTTTTCTTCGCATATCATAAAAACTTGAATTGGTGTCATCAAATAAGTTATGTTGGTACAAGCGTAGCGTTTACACTTGTTGCATTTAATTCTCCCGATGTTCTTTTCGCGATTGCTAAAAATATTTAAAAAAAAGCAATGTGCAAGTTGGATTCAATCTTTCGCCTTCAATACGAATTCAAGTAGTTTTTTACGACTCTTGGAACTTATACGAATAACTTACATTTTAACATAGCATGACATTTTCTGTTTACAAAATGGACACGTAAATAATGCCATAGATATTTTAATGTTTGAACGTTGTCTTTCCATATTGTTTCCCATCTTCAAGCATCTAAAACACGCATCTTCCATTAAATTGTTTATTACGCGAACATTTAAGTAATTTTAGTAATTATATCATTATTATTTTAGTAATTAAATCATATTTTTCTTGTTTCTGTTTTTACAATAATATGTGATTATAATGTAATTGACTTAATATATCTATGTATATCTTCCAAAAAAATTAATCGTAATTTCTAGCATTTTGTAATTTCATACACGCATTTTGTGTAATGCTTCATAAAGTTGAGAAATATTTTTATTAATAATAAAAAATTGAGAAAAGTAGCAGTATGTCAATAAATTAAATCATCAAAGTAATTAAAACACACTAGAATGTTCAATTATAAATCATATTGTTGTAACTTTCTCACTTCACAAATATCTACTTGTTGTATTACGCGTTGATACAGACTTTCTGGAGAAATATACGTATATAAAGAGAAATAGCATGTTATATTGTGACAAACATTTTTGAACTATAATTACTTAATTATGTATTATTAAAAACTTTGTCATTAGATATTTTTTAGTACATGCAAATATATACATACTGATTAAATTGTCCTATCAAAAATTTAATGATTATGTTATCCTGTGCTTGTATTCTGTTAGATATTATGATTGCAACTGGTCTGTGATAATATACTGATATTTAGATTTGTTTTGATCTGTCACAAAGGTGATTGAGTTAAATTGCTCGAAGCAATGTACGTGACAAGATGCGTATACTTATCACAAAATTATGAATTTGCTCTTGTATATGTTTTGAATTCAAAATACCGCTTCATTTAATGAATTTCTTTATTAGTTACCATTAATTGTAATTAAAGAGTAATAATTGAATTAAATTGAATGTAATTAAAGAGAAATAATTTATGCCATTCATTGTCGTTTAATTTGCTAATATAAAGATACATTGTATGTAACACATAAGTATTTCGTTTAGATTCAACAGCAATTATTGCTGTTAAAAATCAACATCATGGACATTCAAAAATTACTCACAAATGTTTGTCGTGTAATATTATATATCATAACGCAATAAATATCGCATGCAATCATTACATAATCGTTAATCAATATCCAATAAACATCAATTCACGGTAATTAACATTATATACATGTATTTATATACATGTATTTATGACACATGTTGTGCGTAATAGGTAATAGTTATATATTATTGAGTATAAAATTAGAATATTGATGTTATGATCATTTTGTTAGTTAATATTTACTAGGTAATGGCGCGATACTAAAGTGGAATATTTCTATCGATGAATTCTAAGCTCCATATTCATTATACAAAAATTAGGCTGTTGCAAAAATTCATTAATTATTTCTTCAAAAATGTACCATATCGAGATTTTCGAAATTCAAGCTTTTACAAGCTGTTGTTTGCTGGATTGCAAACTGCGTTTTTGTAGATCTGCTGCAGAAAATAAAACTCTGTCTGCATTTGTTACACTCGCTTGGCAAATCCACCAATGCGAACAATCGTGTTTAAATCGCGTCCGCAGGAGGTGTTAGAAACTGTCATAACGAAATAACTTGGTTGACTGAGGAGCAATATATTGCGGTTGCTCTGTCTTGCGGTTATTCACGCAGGAGCGCAGACAATTTCAGCTTTTATGATCGATGTGACAAGTGCGAAAATATTGCAGTCTATGCCGCACGCAAGTTTTTGCTCGCGTTATCCATATGAAGCGTGCATAGACGTCACTACGCACAAAAGAAAATTGCTGTAATATAATGTTTTTATATTTGCGGTTATCATGACTATTCCCTCTCGGTTCGGTTTTCATGCGGTTAATGTGGAATTCGATGAAAAACCTAAAATCCAATATTTCTGCGTTTATTATTTAGTATTGTATTCTTTTATATCCTTCTGAGCACTGTAAAAAGCTAAGCACGAATTTTGTGTCAAGAGACATGCTATGCAAAACGAAACGCATCAATAACTGCATTCAGTAGGAGCAGCTTTGCAACTGTTATAGAGTCCTTTAATATAATTGATTTATAGGATTTACAGGTAGGATGGTAACAATTTCGAATATGTTATAATTCTGAATGAAATATAATTCGAACCCAATTTTTAAGATTTAAGTTTGGTAACTCTCTTATTGTGGAAAGTACCGAAGGGATGTCAAATAGGAAAACATCTATCTTAAAAAAATTTTTGAAAATTTAATTCAAATCTTATTTCAGAATTGTACCACGTTCGAAATTGTACTATTTTACTCTATAATTTAGACCTGATAAACAACTAAATAAGGAGATAAATCATTAACGAATTTTACAATAAAAATGGAAAACTGCTTCTGAATATAGCTATATTTCTATTTTTAGAGCGAAAGTATTTCTAATTCAATAAGTTTCTAATTCAATAATGCAAATTTTCATCACACATGTGTCGTCATTTTTGTGATTAATAATTTAATAACTATACAGAAAATATTGTACACTATATTACTCGATATAGGCTATTTAAATATTAACTAAGTGAAATTTAATTATTATTCCTTATTTATTATTTATTCGTAATTATTATTGTTGGACAAAAAACTTTACCAACTGAGAATCTTTGTTAAGTTTCTATTCAAGTATTAATATGCTCCGTTCAGATGACGCTACATACCCGCAAAATGTTGGTACTTCTGCAACTGGATCAAATTGATTTTTCTCTCTTGTGTTTCTGCATCGTCCCTACTTATAGTTAAACACGCTGTAAAATTGGAACAACAGAAGGTTTTTCGTGGCTCTTTTATACGTAAGTCTCCATATTCATAAGTCTATCCGTTCAAATCCTAAAGAATAATATCGAATAAAATGTTGTTATCACATCTTGCTAAAAAGCGTTGGAAGAAATAAAATATTTTTTAATTTCTGTATAGCATACCCGGATTTCTTTTTTTAAGGCGTTTCCAATGCTTTTTTCATTGCTTATAACTTTCATTAATAAAGATTCATACATTTGCTCAGTACCATTACATTCTTCAATATATATTTCAATTACAAAAGTAAATTTAGTATATTTACAATATGTTTATTTTCATAAAAGTTATAAATAATAGAATTGTGGTTTAGTATGTGGTGTTCTCGTAGTGTAGTGTTGAATTAATAATAATTAAATTACTACAAAAATTGAGATACGTCTAATTAATATAATAAAAAAATAATTCCGTTTTAAATTTATGAATATAAATCAATAATTTAATTTCGTAGGTAAGTCTTTTAAGATTTTGGATTTGTTAAAAAGCGTTTTATAAATTAATACGTTTTTCTCATTAGATACTTTTTGCACAAACTATAATTTTTTATTTAATTGGAGATATATATTCATGAGTAATTGAATCATCTAATTCCCTTTAATATGCAAAAATAGCATTCAGGTTACATAAAGTCCTATCATTGCTAATTAATCTAACGTTCAAACGTTTGACGTTGACGATTCCGCGCGTATGTTTAAGACAAACACTTTCGATTAAGAACTAGTTCTTCATCTTTATAAATCGCGCACGTGGTTAAGTAACAGCAAGAAGTTATTAACATTCTTTCAATTTTTCAGCAGCTCGTTCAAAGGCGCGCCCGTTCTATTTCATTGATAGCAATGATTCATGTCTGCGATAGCTAATATCGTGTACAGTAATTAGAGATCCACGAGGTCGTAACGCGAATCCGTCATTGCCGTCACTTCCCAACAGACGGTCTACGAACGCAGGAAGGAACGTTTCGCTCTCGAGACCATCTGTAATTAACTGTGATTGAACTTTCATTGCTCATTGAGCACCGCGCCGATGTTACTTATCTCTCGTGCGCGAGATTGTGTTTATTTTAGTTAGCGGTCGTATTTTTCATCGCGCAAGATCGTGAGATATAGGAACTCTTGCATTTTGTGTAGCCGCAAGAATAATCTCAAATAGCACACAGCGCCCAGGAAATGCTACAAAAAGCGCATATAAAAGTTTTTTTAATGTTTTGCAGACGCTACTTGAGATTTCAACTAAAGTCTCAATCCTTTTCCTTTCTCGAGGACAACGCAAAAAGACAAGGCCATGTTTACGTGTTGCACGAAGCTATATAAGACACGAGAAAGATCCAACTAGCTGACGTCGTCGAAAGTGAGTTTTTATGAGGCACTTAAACACATATTTAATTAAATAAATTTGTGTACAGCCGACTTTATTTCATCGTTCGCGCAACAGTCACGCGAAAGATGCCGCATGCATACTATTATTAAAGGATATAAAATTGAAAATCTGAACTATAAAAATGAAATAAATGCCTCTACCTTCAATGATCGATATTTCATTCGATTCTAATATCTACGTCAGTACAGAAAGCAGTATGGATTCGTCTGTGCCATTTGCCGCCACCGCTTTAATAGTCGGCGCAGTCCATCAATCTCTCTGATAATTAGTGACTCATATAACCGTAGGAATCATTAGCTTCATAGTCATGCTGCGTAACACGCTTTCTTCCAATTCTTATTTTTTAAATGTGTCGAACCGTCGATACGCAATCATAGAAATGAAGTGAACATACTTCGTATCGAAGCTAGTGATGATCGATTGCATCTCGAACGCAATACTAATTTTGTACTTGTCTCATTTTAAACATAGTTACTAATACTAAGAAAGAACAATTTTTTTACTGAAGTATTCAAAAATTTTTTACTAGGTAACAGAACTGAAAGTAATTTTGTTGCATTGTCAAAATAATGATGTAAAACGCTAATATAAGTTGATTTCTAAAATATTAAATTTTATGCAACTGTGCTTATTATAATAAACAATAAATATAATAAACTTGTGCTTAAATTATGCTTGTTTTTTACATAATTATTTTAATAGTCCAAAAAAAGTATTTTCAGATCTATATCTACATTTTTAGATATTTCAGCAAAATCATTCTTTCCTTGATATATCGAATTGTAAAGACAATAAATACAAGTAAGAAACTTGTTTCTTACAAAACAACTAAAGAAATAAAATGATAATTAATAGCAGTAATAAAAAGATATTAAA